GCTTACAGTATCGCAATATATCGGGATATATCGTATCGTGACCCCTCTGTTATGATATGTATCGTATCGCCAAATTCTTGCCAATACACAGCCCTAATATCGACAGCATTCCRAATTTAAAAAATAATTGAGTAACTTCATAAATTGTTACTTTGTAAGAACAGCCAGTTCTGTTTGATGAATTGCATTACTTTGTTGATTGCTTAAAATGCTTGAACACRTTCTTTCTTCAATAATTCTTCAAGCTTTATTCAGTTATTTCCCCTGTCAGCACCTCAGAAACAACCGAGCCCCATCCACAAAGTTTTCTGGATATTTTCGCAAAACTGTTGCCCAGTGTACGTCAGTCCAAAGCTGTTTTCTGTCATCGGTTTCTCCCTGAAGGACCAACATCTGCATAGATCCCCACAATAATACGCAGCTTTAGATGCTACGGAGCGTGAAGCTTTGATGAAGTTGACCTTTGTGTTTGCCTCTCTGCCTCTCTCTCATTGTGTTTTGTTTGCTTGATGGAACTCTTGCAAAACTCCCACAACAGATTTGTGTGTGTTTGTGTGTGTGTGTGTGTGTGTGTAGACAAAAAGAGTCACTGTCAAACACAAAAGCAAACAGTAGTTTTCTGGACATGAGTGAGCAGTTTTAGTGAAGATAATGATTACAGCGACCAATCAAGGATGTTTACAAAAGTCATAACTACAACGAGAAGATCCAAACAAGTCACATGTATTCTCCCCAGAAACCAGTACATGCAGGGTGTACTTTTTTTTTTTTTTAGCTCAGACTTGCATCTGTTTCTTATCTGATGAGTGGTGATTGCACCCARTGTTTTGTCTGCAGGCAGGGAATGTTTTTGATTGACCAAAAACACAACATTCAGGTAGGCCGGCTCTATCAGTGTGCATCAGCAGCCGGATGTTACCGCACTGAAAAAGGGTCATTATTACAAGAAATCCAGGGTGGTGATGGTTTACAGAGGTATCCTTTATGCTCCTTTTTTTGTTTTGTTTTGTTTTTTTGTTTTGTTTTGTTTTTTAATCACCACTGTCAAAAGACGAATGTACCCAAGACTGTATGTGTGGGAAAGTTTGTGTCTGATTTCGAAATATCTCAAGACAAATTTAAATGAAACTTTTATGATGTCGTCATTGGATATACTGTACACATACAACAAATCAGAGGTGCAAACTTTTACTTCGTTACAGTACTATTTGTTTGAGGAACTGTAAACATTTTTAATAATAACGTTTACTTATATTTTGTTACATTCAAAACATAAAAATGATCCTTTTACTTGTTTACTTTAAAATTTAAGTCCTTGTTACACACTAATTTCAATAGAAATGGAACTCATTGTGAAAGCAGTTCTTTATGCACTCTAAAAAATGGAGTATTGAATTTACTTAACCAAGTTAACGTGAATTTATTTAACCAAGTTGAGTTTAGTGAGTGTAAAAAGAGGAGGGGGGTTATGCAAAATCAAATAYTTGAGCTTTATATCATGTTATAATGTATCCAGAGTGTTGCTTTGACTCATTCATGCATGTTTGAGAAATCCTTGATTCTCCTCTGGTAGCTACTTGGAGCTGCCGAAACACTGGCTGGTACAAAGCTCCGCCTATTTACTCACAGCTCCTCCCTGGAGCTCAGTCTGCAGTCGAGCTCCCCCGCCCCACAGAGCACCCTTCCCCCGAAGCATTGTTCCAAAGGTGTGCTGAAGTGGGAGTGTGAGAAATTTTAGGAGGTTTTTAAAGTGACGGAGGCCAATTTCAAGGCATTTCGCTTGATGCAAAGTCAAACTTAATTTTGATAYAAACAACTTTTTCAAAGCAATGGAAGGTAACATYGTTACTTGATTAYGATGTAGAATTRAACTATGTGCCTGGAAAATACATGATACCCCACCCCAACCYCAAAGGAAATGCTTCACATTTATGCAATTTGGTTTAGTGGAAACAGTTGACATAACTTGGTTGAGTAAAATCAACACTTAATTTTCAGATTATTGTGAGCAGTTTTATGATTTTTACTTAAATACATTTCCTGTCACTGAAATTCATTTTTACCAAAGTAATTTTCTGTTGTTACCTTTTACCCATTTATTTTTTTCAAGTACTTAACACACCTTTGCAACAAACTGACTTTTCGAATCAACCCAATTCAAGATGGCCACCACAGCTAGTCAATCTTTGCAAACACAAAAACACTGACTTCATTTTACAGATAATGAGCTGAAGCTTTTTGACTAGTAGCTGAGTCACCCTCAGTGCATACTC